TGTTGGATTGGAGGCTTCATCCACTCAATGAGCCAAATGGCTCTGATCCTCCGGTTCCCTTTCTGTGGTCCGAATGAATTGGACAACTTCTTCTGTGATGTTCAACAGGTGGTCAAGTTGGCCTGCACAGACACATACATCACTGAGATTCTCTTGGCAGCCAACAGTGGTCTGCTTTCTCTGGTTTGCTTCACCATCCTGCTAGTCTCCTATGGTGTGATCCTGGCCACACTTCGAGGCCACTTCAGGGAGAGTGGAAGAAAGGCTTTGTCTACCTGCAGTTCTCACTTGACAGTGGTCAGCCTGTTTTTTATACCTTGCCTCTTTGTATATATTTTACCCTTCAGCTCCAGTGTACACAAGATGATTTCTGTGTTCTACACAGTAATCACCCCTGGCCTCAATCCCATCATCTATACTCTAAGGAATCAAGAAATGAAAGAGGCTATGGGGCGAATTAGGAATAAGAGTATTTTCTCCCATTGTTGTGTGAACCAACACAAAATACGTGTCATTTCCCCCAAGAATCCTATATTAATTCCTGTACCTTAGACATCTCCTGATTTCTGTGTTTGGAGTTGAAAAAAATAGTAGACTTCCATCTATAGGTACTACACCATATATTTCTAAGTAACTTCCATCGCTGAAATGATTGTTTAGAACCAGGCATACTCTGACTACGAGATTCAGTTAAGCCTGAGGAATTTGGGGAGGAGGATATTTACTTGTTTATTGATTTTAAATATTTCTGTCCAGTCTTTCTCTCTGAAAGGACCAAAAAACTTGAGTCAAGTCCAAACCTCAGTTCAGAACTCCAGATCCTCCTGTAGACTGTAATAAACCATTGTTGAGAAATAAACCATCCATTGTGTGACTGTCTAGGTTATTTGGTCCTCAGCAAAATGATGGGTTTTGTTACGTTGAATGCTTCCATTATGTAAATTGTCTGAGTTCCTTCCATAAATGTGATCTGAAGGTTAGAGTCAATTCTGGCTGAGTTCTTCCTTTCATTAAGCGTTTTGGGGATATAAATGGTTTCTTTGATTGAGGTAGATTAAGATCTGAGACTGGGAAATATATTGAAGCAATAGAAGGAGTTAAATACTGTAACGGGCATGCTGGAGCTTATAATAACTCAGGCCTCCAGTATGTGCTCATACTGTAACTGCTGGAGCTTATAATAACTCAGGCCTCCAGTATGTGCTCACTCTTCTACTCAGGTAGCTTCCACCAGCATTTCCAATTAATCAATGAGGCCAGTGTTTCTTTAACACACCACACTTAGTTTATTTGATCAGTAAAATATAATAAGTAAATCACCAGTTGATAATCAATTTCTCTCACTCACTGAACTCAGTAACACACAGCTTCTAACTCTCACTGACTTTTTGGTACAGTCTCACAGACTCACAGAACTCCCTTCATACATCATACACACCCCTTTTATAACCCAGCCACTCCCCCTTTAGCACCACCTTCCGTTCCCTCATTGGCTCCTTTTCTACAGCTCAGCCGTGACGGACAGGTGAGGGCAGGGCTGAACGCTACAAATACCTACTTGTTTATCTAAGTCAGTGGTTCTTAACCTTTTTGAAAGAAACGCACCCTTGAGCCATTGAGGAAGTTATCATTGCCCCCCTCCACGCGGTGATGATATCTTATTT